GTAAATCAACAAGGAAAGTGTACCTGGGATGGCTCCTCTGTGTGAGAGTGCTGACTCACTTCCTCATCGCATTAGAGAATGTATCACAGCCAGTGTTCTCACGGTGACAGACGGACATGACCATGTGCTAATGGGCCTGTTTGGATGCTGTTTTATGCCATTTTATGGCTGAAGCACGAGGTGATATAATACAAGCAAATGTGGCATTTTTTGTTTTATTTCTAGGTCTTAAATAATGAGAATGAGAAACAATGAATTACTGGGTGAGAGAAGTATTTTTGAAAGGGGACAGACATTGATAGTTCCACATCCTGCATCCCAGTCAGAAAAAAAGAATTAACCCTTAATCAGCTGGATGGTGACTTACTATATTAATACTGTAGGAAAATCATGTTTTTCCACATAGCTGTTATATTACAGAAAACATGAATAAAATAATTAAGTGTAATAGTAGATCTTTATGAAGGCTCTAAGGTAACTTTCTAAATATCAGGAAATTAACATGCATTGACTGGAAAAAAATATACTAACTCGGGGAATAAATATGAAGTAAACTCTATATATCTGGATGTAGTGAGGCATTAAAACATGAATCTCTCTCAAATACAAAAAAATATGAAAAATACTTAAAACCAGCAACCATTTGTTGACTTCGACATGCAAATCACTGAGTAAGGCAATACTGTACTCAGAAAGGACATACCTCTTCCTTCAAATAGTTCATAATTTATTTTGAAAAAAATCAATAGAAAAAATAAAATGAAGCAAAAATCATCAATGTACAAAAAATATTTAAAAACATGATGCCCAAACACTAACCATCATGAGCTAGGAAGAACATTGTATTGTCTAAGCGATAAGAGGAAGAGTTCAGTGTAGATTAAGGTTTTGAGAAAGATGTGAATTTTCAAACAAGCCTTAGAAAAAGAGGAGGTTTACATAGGTGGCGGGGGTGAGAAAGAGATTTCTGGAGAGTAGGAGAATGAAACGTGAGCACCAACTCCCCAGAAGTGCACGGCGCTTGCAACCGGACCAGGCTGCTTGGTGGTGTGGCTGACAGCCAGGCTCAGGCAGCGCCCACTCTTGTCTGTGCAGTGTCCACTGTGAAGCCCCAACCAACTGCACGGTGCAAAGCCTTTCATAGAGTTAGGAATTGTGTTATGAGGAACTGCTGTCAGATGCTAAAACTGTGTCGCTTCCCCTCCTTAGCACCATCCTGACGTTCTGTGCATAGTTTGCCTGCGGTGGTGACGTGTGTCTCTCATGATGGCAGCTGGCTGTGCAGGTGCAGCACTGACCCCAATCACTGTCCTGGGAGGCGTCCGACCAATGCCTAGAATAGGAGCTGGTTTGGGCTGCAGAAGCCCCCCGCTATCCCAATGGCGTCTCCTCTAATCGAGGTTCTACATTCAGCCAAAGGAAAAGAATATCTGCCCCCAGCTTCCTGCAAACCCAGTGGGGGATGGTGGACAGTGAAGGGGTCTGGATGAACACAGGACAGAATCTGGTTTCACTGTATGCATCTTGTGGTAGTAGGTGGGTCACAGAGGGATGGTGGGTCCCAGAGCCCAGGGGGTAAAATCATTTCACACGTTTATGACGTATGTGCTGTGTGCACGTGTGCATATGTCAAATAATTCATAAGAAAAGAACACAAAGCACACTTTGTGGGGCTCCCATAAACGAGAGCTGAGTTTTCTTCCTACCAGATTCCTATCAGTTTGCACCGTTTTATCACATCTTAGATATATTATTGAAAATGTGCTTTAGTATATTCACCCTGTATAGTCCGCTGTATAAGCTAGCTCCCTTCACTACTCCCAATGCTGCTTTTCATTTATTAATATCTCACATGTATCTATTTGTTTGGGGACTTTCTGTATGGTTCCAGCACTCATTTCTTATTACCACTGTAGTTTTAAAATTTGATAATGCACGTCAATATTTGGTTTTCTAGTCTTTATTCTTTCTCATCAGGATTTCTATCACTTTCTTTAATCAAAATTGTAGTATCTCAGCAGATGGCTGGGAACACACAGTATCTGCTAAATTTTAAAAATATTTTGGAAACTGTAGGAGCCTAATGTTTCTCCCAAGCATTGCATGTCCTTTTCTTTATTTCATACAGAATCTGTTGACTCTCTGCCACTATTGGCTTGTATGTCCTTAACTGGCTTATGCCTCTTTTCCTCTCATGTTATTTTGGTAACTTAATCTATTTAATAGGGGTCCAGTGCTCCACAGGCCAGTGGACAAGGAATGGGCAAATAATCTCTGGGTATCTAGGGAGAAGACCCCATTGCCTGTCTATGTGGGACTCTAGAGAGAGCCCTCTGAATGGAAGATCTTCAAAAATGCAAAGAAAGATGGAGGGTCAGCCTCAGCCCTCCATTACCTTGAGTGATGATTTTGTGAAACATGCTGTCTCTGGAGGTCAATATGTGACACTAGACTGTGTCTAACAGTAGTCACTGAGATCTCCTGTGGCCACAATGCTTACAATAAATTCATCAGAGGATAAAAGGTTGGGCAAAAGCTAACAGTAACCAAAGGGTAGAATCTCCAGTGCTAGTCAGTGAGCCCCAAAAGGAAGTCAATAAGGAATAGACCCAATAGAGCCTACAGAAATACTCATACCATAAAGTCATTTCCACTCAATGTCACCCAGTTATGGCCATGACTTCGGAGAGTCTGTTTATCTGCTTTCTCTCCAAGAGAAGAGTCACAAGTATCCAGGGAAGACCAGACAGTCAGCCAGAGCTCTAGTTCCTGTGTAGCAACTGAAGTTCTCCCTCAAGGAGAGAACTCAGAGGGACTCTCAACATGGCCAGGTTTATAGAATTTTGAGTTTAAAGGCCAAGTATACCTTCTTTTTAAAACATAAATTTGGTGTATAATCATTCCTACATTTATTCCACAAATACGTATTTGACAATAGTGTGAATCAGACACTACTCTTGAATACACAGGTGAAAATCCCCGAGAACTGAAGTTCTGAGAGAACTCCTCCACAAGTATGGAGAAGCAGGGCTCAGAGAGGCTGCTCACATTCCCCAAAGTTTCTCAGCTGCTAAGTGGTTAAACCAGGGTTTGAACCCGTAATCCAAAGCTGTTTCTTCCACAGGGCTAATTTACAAATAGAATTGGGTCTATTCTATTTGTGCACAGCCAAATTGAATATACAAAACCAGTATGTGAAGTAGGAAGAAAAAGTCTAAAGGAGAAGGGGAAGAGGGAAGGATAGGGAAAGGAAATAAGGGAAAAGAAAATGATATAAAAAAAGGAACAATGGAAATAAAACACACACACTAGTAATTTTGGAATAATTATTGCCTTTTACATTGTAGGATTATGTCATTTTTTTCATTGAGTTTATTGGTACATTTTAGGTATACAGTACAGTTACATTCATTATTGGGATCTTGTACCTTTACATGAAAGGTGGTCTTGGTTCTCATTTTTTTCCCCTTGTCCCTGCCCTCCCTTCACCCACTCCTCCTCTCCCCATTTGCAAAACATTCTGTCTTACTAAGCTGTTTACAAAATTATTTCCAGATAATCTTCATACACCATCACAGAATATAAACTTTTCAGGACTGGAAAGTCCCCTGTTTCCATCAAGGCATTTCAGCTTTCTGGATTCTGCCCAATGGAGCAGCCACTTTGGGACACTATATTGGAAAATGTCGCACAAGACATTTAATGACAAGTCAGTGCAAGGTGAATTTTTCAGAAAGTAGTTCATTGCATTTTCAATGTATCTCACTTTCAATTTAGGGGGCTTATAATCTTGTATGAAATCTCTAGGCTATTTTGGGTGAGAAATTCTATTTGACCTTTCCACCTGTCTGCCATGGAGAAGCCATCAATGAGCATCTGGGGGCATCCCGCAGAGACCTGCTCTCCACCTGTTAGGTGAGAGGTGAAGACTCCTGCAGTCATCTCTGCAGAGGGCTGGAGGGCAGAAGCAGTGGTCTCCAGTGAGGCCCACAGTCAAGAAAGTACAGGTCTCAGAACTCATGGACCGGACAGGCACAGTAGGCACCGAGACCCTGTGGGGTCTGTTCCATCAACACAGCACCCAAACAAGGAGAGACCAGGTGAGAAACCTGAGAGAGAAAGGTAGTGGTCAGATTCTAGAGGGTCTCAGTGCGAAGTGAAAATGTCTGAAATTTTTGCTGAAAGCCTTGAGGATTATTGAGGTTTTGTAAGTGAGTAAATATGTCCTTTCTTGCTCTGCTTTTAGCCTGCTGTCAGAAGGGTGAATTTCAGGGACCATGGACTGGAGGCTGTCACAATAGTGACAATGTGGCAGCTTGAGTCACAGCAGGGTGGCAGGAATGTCATAAAGGCCACTCTCTACAAGGGTTGAAGAGCAGATTCAGATTCAACGGCACAACTCTGATGGGGGCATTGATTGGCCTATTAGATATTGTGTAATTAGTCAAAGGAAAAAGCTAGATTGATCCTCATGCCTGCCTTAGATAGCTAGGTAGTGAGAGGGTCAAAAATCAATATGGGGAGTCTAAGGAATGAACAACCCAGGAGAAAGTGGGATGAGGCCAAGTTGGACAGGGATAGCGTGTACTGGGGTGTCCAACAGCCTGTGTAGTGGCCTTTTAGATGAATTGCTCCATAGCTTCCCAAACAAATAGGAGCTGAAGTGTAAATAAAATAATACAATTACAACCTGTAGGCAGGCCACGTGTCACAAAGAGATAACAAGTACTTTTCAAGGCAGCATCTCCCTGCTCATCCTCACAGCCCCATGCCTGGTCCTCAGCCCCACAGGTGCACAGAGAGGATTTTGTGGTAGATCCCAGAAGTGAGAGGACCAAAGAATGTTGACTCTCAGTAAAAAATTTTTTAGGGAAACCTGTGAACAAAACAGCAGTGTGAACATATGAAATTGAAAGGCATGATTAAATGCAGCAAGTACTCATCAGCCTGACTTTTTCATTTCTCACTGTTTGAAGGTTTCAGGGGAAGCCAGACAGTAAGAACCTTGTCGGAGAGTGCAGGATCAAGCTGCAGGTAATTCCACAAAGTGAGACTATGTCCCATAGTAAAAAGATTCACTCCACTATTGCTCATCTATTAGAAATGCACCAAAAGTGAGTAAGGATGTGTAGCAGCAGTAGGAGCTCTTACTCAGGGCTAGTGTATTCCTAAAGGGTGTAGTCACTTTGGAAGACTGTTGGACAGTTTCTTACAGAACTAAATACACCCTTGCAATACAACCCGGCAATCATTCTCCTTGTCATGTAGGTAAGGGAGTTTAAAATGTACATCCACATTAGAGCCAACACATGGATGTTTATAGCAGCTTTACTCATAAATACCAAACTTGGAAGTAATCAAGATGTTCTTTAGTAGGTGAGAAGATAAATAAAACATGGTACATCGAAGCCATGAAATACTATCCAGTGTGAAACAAATGAGTTATCAAACCAGGTGAAGACATAGAGGAAACTTAAGTGGACATTGCCAAGTTAACTAAACCAATCTAAAAAGGTGTACAGTGTTTTATACACGAAATGGTCTGGAAATAGCAAAAAGAATAGCGACAATAGAAATATCATTGTTTCCTTGGGATTGAGAAGAGAAAGAAATGAGTGTTTGGAGCTCAGACAATGTCAAGAGAGTACAGCTCCTCTGAATGATAATATTACAGACACATTAGTGTGTATTTGTCTAAATATCTAGAATGCACACCAAGAGCTAGTGAGCCTAAATTCAACAGTAGAGTTTGGGTGATGGAGACCTACCAACGTAGGCTCCTCCTCTCTACTAAAAGTACCATTCTAGCCGAGGGTGGTGATACGCTTCAGTAAGCTCGCATATGTGGGGGATGAGAGTATGTGGAAAAATCTGTGGACCTTCCTCTGAATTTTTCTGGGAACCTAAAACTACGCTTGAAAAGGCCACAGACTAAAATGCAGATGCATTTTCCCACTTCTTACTGCAACTAGATTTTTCTTGTTGTATTATCGACCATTGTGTCTGATGCAACAAATGAGACAATTTCAGTGATTTCTAACGTATTTTAATTGTCTGAACACATCATCCTTGTTCCTCAGGTCACATGTCAGTTCCCAAAGAACCTTACACTTTATTGTAGGTGTTTGCTATGCTTTTCACCTTTATTATGTAGCCTATATGTCATAGCACAAAATGCTAGCAAATATTTTGTAAATCGATGAAAATAATGTGTTCCCAGATTTAAATGATCTATTATGCATTTCTAAAAGTTGGCAGATTCTACAGTTTCTGCAGCCTTCCTCTTCTCTGCTCTAAGGGAAAAGACTCTCATCTTATCTAGTTGAAATTTAAGCGATCTGGACTTTAAGCCTATGACACACCTGCCTTTTCTGCGCACTTTTGTTTCCTTGCCTACATCATGATCAGCCATTTTATCATCAGAGTATTCCAGTGTTAGAGAATCTAATTCATAGTGTTAGGCAGTGTTTCCCTACCAGGAGAATACTCCAAAACTAGGGATGGATATAAAAGTGTAGAAAAAAAATTGCTTATCAAAATAACTAAGAGCATTTGAAGAATTTAGAGGAAGGGACCAAAGGCCTGAATATCATCCGGCCTTCCAGAAAGACAAAGCAATCTCCCACCTCACATAACAACTATTCTTTGGTTGAGAATCATAAATATGGAATGTTTATTAGACCTAGACTGAAATTGATATTTGAAGAAAGAAAAGTCAAAGAAATACTAACTTTGGGCATGATCTGTGTGGTTTGGTTGATTGACCACTCTCACGAAACTTAATGACTGCATTGAGGATGTTTGGTTGAAATTTGAGACATGAGATCAATCCAGTGCATTTAGAAAGTGTATGTGCTCCTGATGAAGTCTGGTATGTGTGCACAGAAGAGCAGGAGCAAGAGGAACAGGAAGAAAGCAACAGAAAGGCTAAAAAGCAAATGCTTACCTTTAAATAGTTCAGAATACTTTTTAAAAACAGTTTTCTTTCTTTTTATCTACTTTTCCTACACCTAATTCTGTGGAGCAGAGCATGGTGAAGATTACCAAGGATACCTGGCGTGTTCTGGGAATGCTATAGTACTAGGATCACTGGGTATTTTTCATAAACATCACTAGTGATCATCAATATCTGTTCTTTCCTCACTTCTGAGCTTATAAAAGCACCAGATCTCCAGATCCATACATCAGACAAGACCATGCATTTCAGAGGATCAGAAATGCCTAACGAGGCAGTAATCATCCACTTCTTTCTCCTCTGTGGTGATCACCAGGAGGGCTTGTGGCGGGATATGGAATATGAAATGAACCTGGATCTTTGACCACTACAGGGAAGACAGCCACATGGAAGTTACCGGAACCTGAGTTCCATCTAAGCCTAAGAGAAAGGAAGGAGGAGTCTCATTTTCAAGGTCAAGACAAGGAAACAATTCAGAATCTCAGAGGTAAGTGTTGATGAAAGGCAACGTGTAAATGTACTACCTGAGCAAAATGAAAGATAATAGAAAATAGGGAGATAGACCTTATGCAAATGGGAAGGGGACCAAGACACAGAGGGGGAGAAAGGGAGGGGAGATGTGGGTGAAAAAAGAAGTAAAGTGTACTAACGCCCCATGAGGAAAGCAATCATTATATGCTATGACCATGGACTAGCAAAAAATAAAACTGAGAAAAAAAATACTGTACTTCCTGCACGTTGGCATGTCACGTGATAAATGCAGTGCTTTGGAGAACTGAGCTGGAAAACTCAGAAGTCCATGTCCTGGTAGTGAGTTTTTCCTGGATGAGATTGTTCCTCCTTACATTTAAACATCCTCCACTAAGGATAATGGACAGCAAAGAGATTGCTTGCAGAATGTGATGTCAGTTTCCAAATACTGAACATCCGCTGATGGAAACGGGTTGATTCCATATTTCAGAAAACTTCAGTTTAACTTCTGAGAGACGAGACAGACCAGCTCCGCCCTGGCCCCGGTCTCTCTTCTCACTCATGTTTTGCTTACTGCATTCTTTCCATGCAATGCTTCCTCATTAGACAGCTGTGGATGTTACGCTGCAAGAACAAAAATGAAAGGGACTTTTCGCCCTCTTCCCAGTTTAATTTCCCATACAGTTCCTCAGAATATAGATACTGCTTATTAACTTAAAGAACTGCAGCTCAGCAAAAAGTGTTTGCCTTGTGGAAATAGTGCCAGGCAGCTGAGAAGATCTGCCATGCAGAAACAGATTAGCCTTCATTGGATAGAATAAAGTATGAGAATTTCAAAGCTAGGAGATATTTGAATGTGAACCAAGCCCACTTCTGTAGTGCACCAGTCTGTCTCTAAGTCTCATCAAAGCTGTTTTCTCATCAGTAAAACTGAGGTGGCAGCAGCTCTCTCAGTGTTGCACGGAGAAGCATATTAGACAGTGAATGCAAGTGTGATTGAGAGCTGTTAATGAATTCACGAACACCAGTCCCCTTCTCTCCACCTCTGCTGTGTCCCTTTGGCCCTCCTCAGGAGCTCACACAGGCAAACATCATTTTCCCATCACTTTCTACCCCCAATTGTTTCTGGGACAGTGTCATGTGATGTTTGATCTCCAAAGAGAACTGGACCTTCACACAGCAGTGAAAGCCCAGCTCTGAGACACTGCAGCTTTTATCTGGAGCTTGGCCTGAGGTCTTATTTCCCCTGGAACCACAGTGGATTTTAAATTTTGTAATTAATTGATGAAGTCGTATTTATGTACAAGACAGTTTAAACAATGTATAACTGTAGAATGACCAGATCTAGCTCATTAGCATGTGCCTTACTTCACTTGGTTACGTCTGTGGCGAGCACACAGTGTCCACTCTCAGTATTTTTCTGAAAGGCAGTATATTATAATTAAAATTATTTACCATGCTGCAAAATAGTTATCTTGGCCTTACACCTCCTAAGTAATTGTATCCTTTGACTAACATCTCTGCAATCTCTTTCCTAAACTGCCCCAGATCCAGTGACCAGCAGTCCACCCTCTAGTCCTGTGAGATCAGCACTTTTGATCTCTCACGTGAGTGGGCTCACCTGATGTGCGTCTTTCTGTGCCTGACTTCTTTCACCTCACTGTAGGTCCTCCTGGTTAGTGCATTTTTAGCTGGTATCGCAGGACTTTCTACTGAGGGTACAGATGAAAGATGTGCCTTTGTGCACACAGACTTCCATAATTTCTTTACCCATTCATCCACTGATGGATTTAGGCTGATTCCGTATTTTGGTGATTGTGAATAACATTGCAATAAACATGAGAGTGCAGAGATCCATCCTGTACTTGTTAAAAGATACAAAAACTGTCAGGTGTTGGGAAAAATGTGGAGAAGAAGAAACTCTTGTACCCTGTTGGTAGGAATGAATTACAGACATTTCTCTTGTTAAGTACCGGGTAGATCTTTCCCTTGAAATTTCTTTTTAGCAATAAAATTTGCCTCTTGGCAAACAAGGACCTTTATCCCCAAGTAAGAGATAAACTCGAAGGGTGAATGCTTCCTGCAGAAAGAGCACAGACAACTCGTCTTCTAATGATGGAAGGGGCTAATTCCAGAGATGCCATGACGTTTGTTTCCTGAAAGGTGCAGGTGTCAAGAAACGAGGAGGGAAAAATCATACGTACAGATAAATCTCCCTTATTTTACAATCTTATTCAGAGACTTGGACAGTGATGTGACTTACACACAATGGAAGGCAACTATCACAGTTATGTTCACAGCTGTGAGCACATGCAGACATTACAGCCATCATCCAAATTATCTTTTGCTGTGTCACAAATTGCTCTAAACCTGTGACTTAACTATTTTGTTATAGCTCAAGCTTCTGTAGGCTAGGAATCCAGGGAAGGTGCCACCAGAGTGATTTTTCTACTTCACTTGGTTCACGCAGTGAAGCCCAGCAGGTTGATCCTCTGGCTTGAGAATCCAAAATGGCACTTCTTATATCCAATCACTGGTGCAGGTGACTGCAAGGCTGGACGGAACTGTGACTGTCACCTGGAGAATCTGCCTGTGCCTTCTCTAGCATAGGCTTCAAAGATAATTATATTTCTTAGATGGCCTCCAGGGCTCTCAGCAAACATTCCCAGAAGCTCATGTAGAACCTACAAGCTTTTTAAAACCTGACCTTGGTAGCACAGGAAGGTCACTGCTGCCTCAAACTCTTATTCAACCACCCACTCAGCCAGTCCAGAGCCAGGGAGTGGGGCTAGCTATTATTTCTCATTGCATGGAGTAGCACAGGATTTATAGCCATCTTTAACCTATGGTTATTGTAATATTTGATCTCAAATTCAAATAAATATTTTAGGTGTTTTTGTTTGTTTGTTTTTTGAGGCAAAGTCTTGCTGTGCAATTCAAGCTGGCCTTGAACTCACTATGTAGTAGAGGCTGACTTCCAGGTGCTGAGTTTATGAGTTTATGAGTGTGCACCACCATGCCTGTTTTTCTAAAACGGTTGTTGAGGGAGCTGGGAAGTTTTGTTTCATCACATTAAAGTATCTCTTCTTAGGAGGCAATAAACTAAATCTCAGTTTGTCATTCTTGGGAGAGAAAAGTAGTCAAAAATAAAACAAAACAAACAACAGAATTCTGGGGAAAAGGTATAAATACTGTGAAGATTTATTGTACTGACTGCCATTAAAACTTTGGAATATGGTTTAATAATTAAGTTTTTTTTTTTTAAGACAGAGAAAGCAGGGAGCCAGGATGACCAGTGTCAGTGCAAATGGCAAAGGCCTTGGCCAGTCCATGCCCTGACTTTTTAGAAGCTTTTTCTTTCTTTCTTTTTTTTTTTTGGTAGCAGGAATCGAACTCAGGACCTTGAGCTTTCCAGGCAGGCAGCAGAACCACTGAGCTAAATCCCTGGCCCAGGCACTGACTTTTATTGGCAATTAGTTGGGGTAAAGGCAATGTGTGATATGTTTGGTTCACTACCTATTGTCAGTTCTGATACGTTTGGGTGTGAATTTCCTAACTTTGCATTTTCTATATCCCACACTTTTGCTTTTTACTTTTTTGCTTTCTTTCCACTGGGTTGATACATTCCATTTCTTTTCACCCCCTGCTTGGGAAGTTGCACATTTTTCTTGAAGTCCGCTGCCCTCTTCCTTGCACACGGGACATCATTGTTGCCCTGCAGTTGTCTGAAATGTGGGTTTCTCTCTTCAGCCCCCAACCTGCCAGGTCCTCATTGGAATCCGGCTGCTTTCCAGGCCCTGCAGTCGACTTAGATTTGCTGAGCTTTTTACTGATGCTCACCTCTGCATTTGGAATTCCACTTTGCTCTTGTTCTTTTTTTTTTTAAACCAACCTATTTTTTGGAAAGCACACTCTTCTATGATTCATTAGAGTAGCTGGTAAGTGTCATTTTCTGCCAGGCGGTACTGTGGGGGGAAATGTCTTTCTACTGCCTTTGTAAAGCCCTGGAATGAACCTGTCCCGGCAGCATCCCCAAGTAGCATCCCGGTCACCCTAGAATGGCTATGGAGAAACCTGTCCTGAGCAATTTGCTGTCCGTTTTAGGTCATTTCAGTGTCTTTCCTGCTTTGTCTTCAGGATGCTGAGGTTTCCCTCAGATGTATGTTAGCATCCAGTTACTCCCATTTTAATATTCTTTGAAGCTCATTTGGACTTTAGAATCTAAAGTTTCATATTTCCGATATACTTTAGGAAATTTTCTGCCATAAATTTTTCATGGTCTATTTTTAAAAACAATCCCAAGCTCCCCGGGAGGTAGCGTGCGTGTACGAGGAACTGTTTTCACGAACTCTAACCTGAGAGGAAACGGACTGCGTGTACTCTTTTGAGAATCCTTCCATGTTTCCTGAACACGACCCTCTCCATCCACAGTGGAAATGGGCCTCGGTTTGTCCCTGTGCTCTGTCTTTGGCCCCATTGGGCCCCAGGGACTCCAGTGGTATCCGTGCAGCTCAGGGCCTGGTCTGGCCCCTGCTGGCCCATGGTTGAGGCGTTTCTCAGTCTCCCTTGGCTCCCACCACCCTGGTGTGTTCGCAGCTTCTAGGCCGGTCGTCCGGCCGAGCATCCTCCAGTGGGTTTGTCGGGAGTGGTCAGGCCAAGCCTCCAGGGCAGGGTGTCAGGAGGTGGTGCCTGCCAGGGACATGTGGGTTTGTCTCTCACCCACGCCCCAGGCTGTGACCTCAGAACTCTTCTGCTCCAGGACTGCTGTGTGCTTAGCTTTGGGATTCACAGTCTCCTGTGTGAATGCGTGGTTTCTGTGTGGCTCGCATTACTGGTTTCAGTGACCAGATGATCACATTGGCCAGTGGGAGCCCTCAAGCAGCAGCACCCTGTTACCCTGGCATTCGCCCTACTCCCCAGCGGTTCCTTGTGTGAGGAGGGTCTCTGCCTCCTCCTGTGCTTCCGCTGTGCCTCACCTGGAATGAATGGGCCCCATTACTATTACTGGTGTTATTG